TCATTATTGTACACAAATAGTTGTGTTTAATTAACTGATATACCATTCTGTTCTTCGGATCAGGTCTACTTCCTTACTAATGGAGGCACAGAAATCTACACTGATGTGAGAAGAAACTCCTTGGACGAGGCGATCAAATTGTGCCTATCCAGCGGTTTACAAGGGATTGTATCACAAAGCAGGGCAATCTTCAAGAATCCAACGGCAATACCAAAAATCAAAGAGTCCAATCTTATTCTTTTAACTTACGGCCAGCTAAACAATGTATCAGAAGCAGTGTACTTGCAGCATTTGATGGGGGTCAACGGTGTGATTGTCGATTTGGTTGAGGAGATCACTGAAGCTGTTTCAGATTTTATGAATGAAAATGGAGAGGGGATTGAGGAGAGCAGACCTAAGTTCTCTCAGAGAGAGCTTGCTTTTTTGCTTAAGCTTATTCCTGAGCTGGCTTGATTGTTTGATTAGTGAAGAGAAGTCTGATAGCAGAGATTGGTATATACTGAATCCCCTGAAAATTTCCACGGAACATTGTTGTATTGTGCTAATGCTTCATACACGCTTATTGAAAACTTCCAGGATGCATTCTGGTATTTAGCTCAGTTCATACACATTTATAATGCTAACCAGTGGTATAATAATGACAAAGAGCATGTTTGGGAACTTGGCTTATTCCAAAAATGAATTACAAGCCAAGTGGATTATAAGCCAAAGTGTTTGGTTAAAAAAATGAATTATAAGTCGCATTCAATAGGAGAGTCTTTGGTAAATGGGTGGATTGTAATCCATCATTGTTGTCAAAATGACCAAAAAAGACATAGACTTTGGAATTCTCTAAAATGTTGAGGGGGTAAGCTAGTCATTTACTTGGTCAAACAACCCAACTTATAAGCCAAAAATAAGCTAAGTTGTGGCGGCTTAATTTTTTTGATTTATAAGCTAATGTAAGTTGGTTGCCAAAAATATTTCAATGGTTTATAAGCCATAAAAGTGGCTTATAAACCACTTTGACCAGTTCTCGAACATGCTCAAAATTTCAAGGCCAATGAAAAGAGTTGCATATTGGTTAGAGTGCATGTTGATTGTAAGCTCAAGATAGGCCAAAGTGTATCAAACGGGAAAAAAGGAAAAGTTGCACGATGATGCAACAGAGCTTCCCTTTCTTATTCACTGGAGGAGACCCAGAGAAGACTATACAAATGTTTCTTATAGACATACAAATGCAATGCTATCCATTCAAGGTGAAAATAATTAAGGGTAATTTCACATGACCGAACTTTGGACGGTGTTGCACATAACCCCCCTGAACATTGTTTATCTCACTTAACCCCTCTAAACTGTGGGGTCTCTCACAAAACACCCATGAATTTTTCCTTATCTCGGCTAAATCCTCTGCCCGTAATTTGTAAATAACTAAACCGTCTTTAGAGTGAAAAAAATTCTAAACTTTGTCACTAGTCATTTACAAGCAATATACTCCCTCCCCTAAAACTTGAGTTTTTTTCTCACAAGAAATTTTTAGTTATTAAATATTACATGTAGGGAGGTCTGATAATTTTTTTTTTGTTTAGGGAGGTTATGTGATAAATAAAGTTAAGGGTTATATAACCTGCATCAGACTGTGAGTGTAAAGTTAAGGATCATTGATTTCTGCACAAATATTGTTAAGGAGATGTCATTGGACATTTGCCGTAGGAGATATGTAACTGGACCTTCACAAACGACTCAAAGTCCAGACGTTTTCTTTCTTTGAATAACAAGTTCTAACTATAAGTTATTCTTCTCTCAAAGCAGCAATGTGTACGTGGATCTTAGTTGTTCTTGTCTAGAATGCTCCAAGAAATTAGATGACTAATGCTCGATTTATGGTCTCTTTCGGATCGTGAGACATCTTGAAAGTTTAGTTAGATTAAGCTTTTTCCATATCTCATCTATATGAACTCATTAGTCTTCACAATTATTATTGTACGCTCATTAATTTTCTGTTATGTGTCATGGAAAAAAGTGGGACTAATCACATGATTAAAATGCAAATTCATTTGGTATTGAGGTGTCTTCTCACAACAACTTTCATGGCATGAGAAAAGCAAGAGTCTCACATCCAACATATGAAAACTGAATGATAAAAAAAGTGCCGACGCCTCAGTTTTATAAGTTGTACTTGTTGGAGAATGATTCAAAGTCTGTTAGTTTTTAAATCAAAAGGAGATTTAGTAGTTGTTGAAGTTGTTAGCAAGTTATAGTTAGAAGATTTGTTAGTTATTTCCTGATTTTTTGGCCAAGCAGTTTATGAATAATGTTTCTTATGTAAGCCTATATAAGAAAAAGTTTCAGATCAATAAATTATCTATCCTTCCTCTCACATATCATTTGCTTTCTTGCTCTGTTAATTTCCTTCATTTTGGTATCAGAGCCAGGTTGCAACCTAGGCTTCGGCGTTCATTCCAGCAGCAAGATGACATCAAATGGTTCTGCGGTAAATGTTTCTCAACCTCAAATTCCCATTTTCAAAGGTGATTCCTATGAATTCTGGAGTGTAAAGATGAAGACTCTCTTTAAATCACAAGATCTATGGGATCTTGTTGAAAATGGGATCACTGGAACAAGCTCAGAAGAGACAGGCAACAAGGAGACTCTTAAGAAAGATGCAAAGGCCTTGTTCTTTATTCAACAAGCACTAGATGATTCTATATTCTCAAGGATTGCAGCAGCAACCTCAGCAAAGGAGGCATGGGACACTCTCAAGACTGAGTACCAAGGTTCTGCCAAGGTAATCACAGTGAAATTACAATTTCTTAGAAGAGATCTTGAAACAGCAATTATGAAAAATAATGAGACAATACAAGAATATCTTAGTCGAATTTCATCTGTTGTTAGCCAAATGAGAGCATATGGTGATAAAGTGCCTGATGAGATTGTTGTTGCAAAGATTTTGAGGAGCCTGTCTCCCAAGTTTGATCATGTGGTTGCAGCCATAGAGGAATCTAAAGATCTCTCCACCTATTCTGTTGATGAACTCATGGGATCTTTGCAAACACATGAGACCAGAATCAATAGAAATATAGCCAAGGAAGAAGAGCAAGCTTTTCAAGTTCAGGGGGAGCAAGCAAGGTTCACATCAAACAGAGGCAGAGGTAGAGGAGCATTTAGAGGAAGAGGACGTGGAAGAATGAGTACAATCCAGTGCACTTACTGCAAGAAGTTTGGACATAAAGAAAGTGACTGTTGGAGCAAAGACAAGCAAGTTCAATATGCAGAAGAAGAAGAAGAAGAAGAAGATTACCTGTTTATGACTGATGTAAGTCCCCAAGCTACCTCTAAAGAAACTTGGTATCTTGATAGTGCGTGTTCAAATCACTTGACAGGTGATAAGTTAAAGTTCAAGGAGCTAGATGAGACACAAAAATCCCAGGTCAGATTGGGAGATGACAAGCAGGTTCAAATCGAAGGAAAAGGAACTGTTGCTGTCAACATTGATGGGAAAGAAAAGATGATTCAGAATGTTCACTATGCACCAGGTTTGGCTCATAATCTGATAAGCGTAGGGCAACTAGTTGATTCTGGTTATTCTGTCATGTTTGAGAAAAATGCTTGCACTGTTAAGAAAAAAACAGGTGAAGTGTTGTTACAGACCAAGATGAGTAAAAACAAGATGTTTCCCATAAATTTCTTCTACAAAGAAATTCATGGAATGATGTGCAGCAGATTTGATGACTCTGAAGTGTGGCATCAGCGTTATGGCCATCTTAATGTCAAGGGTTTACAACTACTTGCAAGCAAAGGAATGGTAAAGGGTTTACCTACAATCAAGGGATTGGACCATGTGTGCAATGGTTGTGCTCTAGGAAAGCAAACAAGAAGGTCTTTTCCTGTAGGACAATCAAAGAGAGCAGAGGAGAAGCTTGCACTACTACATGCAGACATTTGTGGTCCTATGAGGGCAGAATCACATGCTGGTAGTAAGTATTTTTTGCTCTTTATTGATGACTTCTCAAGAATGTGTTGGGTATATTTTCTCATCCACAAGTCTGAAGCACTCGAGTGTTTTAAGAAATTTAAGGCACTCGTAGAGAAGCAAAGTGGTAAGAAACTGAAGGTGTTGAGAACTGACAGAGGAGGAGAATTTCGTTCCACAGAGTTTAACAAGTTTTGTGAAGAGCAAGGAATCAAGAGGGATCTTACAGCTCCCTATACCCCGGAACAGAATGGCATAGCTGAGCGTAAAAATAGGACTGTGGTTGAAATGGCCCGTTCCATGATAAAAGCAAAGAATCTCTCAGATGAATTTTGGGCAGAAGCTGTTGCTACTGCAGTCTATCTGATCAACATTTCTCCTACAAAAGCAGTGTGGAACAAGACACCCTTTGAAGCCTGGTATGAATTTAAACCATCTGTGAGTCATCTTCGAATTTTTGGTTCTTTGTGCTATGCTTTAGTGACTTCTCATAGACATAAACTTGACTCAAAGACAAAGAAGTATATTTTTGTTGGTTACTGCTCCAATTCAAAGGCATACAGGTTGTTTGACCCAGAGAAGAAGCAAATTGTTGTTAGTCGAGATGTTCAGTTTGATGAAAAACTGAATTTTGAAGAAACTGGTGCAAAGCAAACTCCCATCCTGAACATACCATCTCATGAAGAACAGGAGAAAACAAGGGATGAAGAAGTTGAGTGTGATCCAGTAGCTAGCAGTAGTAGCTCACAGACTTCACAAAATGAGATTCAAAATGAGGAGGAGACTCCTCAGTTGCGTAGGAGTCAGCGTGGCCTAATTCCTCGACGCAAGTTTCAGATTGAAGGAGAAGATGATACTGATGTTTGTACATTTGCAATGTTTGCTAAAGATCCAGGATGTGTAGAATCTGCAATGGAAAGTGAAGTGTGGAAGAAGGCAATGAAAGAAGAATTATCAGCAATTGAAAGGAATGAGACCTGGAAACTTACAGATTTACCAGAAGGAAAGAAGGCCATTAGTTTGAAGTGGATATTCAAGACCAAATATCATTCTGATGGGAGCATACAGAAGCACAAAGCCAGATTGGTGGCTCGTGGATTTGCTCAAGAACCTGGAGTTGACTTTGAAGAAACATTCTCACCTGTAGCAAGAATCGAGACAGTCAGGTTGATTCTTGCACTTGCAGCTCAGTTACAATGGACTGTATTTCAGTTTGATGTTAAGTCTGCGTTTCTTAATGGAGATTTGAGAGAAGAAGTGTATGTGCAGCAACCAGAAGGATTCGTGATTCCTGGTGAAGAGAACAAGGTGTACAAACTGCGAAAAGCATTATATGGCTTGAAGCAAGCCCCTCGAGCATGGTACAGCAAGATTGATGAGTTCTTTCATCAGAATGGTTTTCAGAGAAGTCCAAATGAGCCAACATTATACATAAAGAAGCAAGGTATGAAAGATTTTATTATGGTTAGCTTATATGTCGACGACATAATTTATACAGGATCATCTATGCAGCTTATTGATGAATTTAAGAATGCCATGATGAGTATGTTTGAGATGACAGATTTAGGAAGACTCAACTACTTTCTTGGTTTGGAAATTAAACAAACCAAGAATGGTATATTTCTTTCACAACAGAAATATACTA